TGCCTGCTGCCTTTGGACTATGGCCCCATGTTAAAAGACATCTTTTTCCCTGCAGAAAAGACTTATTCGTGCTTTTCTGCCGGGTGTTCGGTAGATTTGTTTGAGTGTGTTGTACCCCAGATAGGAATCCCATGGAGCCCATTCGCATGAAACTGACTGTGTAAAGACTTTGGCTCCATGGCGTTTAAACTGTATTCGTGTGGTCTGAGCACCATTCGCTTAATAATGTGCGCTCAGACCTGAGCTATCTGGGGATATGTAGAACGTATGTTTTATGTACTGAATGTAACTGTAGGTAATTTTATGTCTTTTACTGTTTGTTTTCTGCCATGTGGTTAATGGAGTTTTGCCTCTGTCTTTGGAGATAATTGAATTACTTCTCAATTATCTCCAGAGCAGAGAGGAGGGATTGTGATGCATTGTGGGATGGTTGAAATGTGTAAGTCTGTGATTGGTCCTTTTACCCTTTGTGTCCCAGTCTCCCATTTGGTCCCTTAGGGGAGTGTCCACCAGGTGGGAGACCTGCATAAAAGCTGGGCAGTTAGCCCCTGTAACGGATCACCTGGCACCCCGACTGGGTACCTCCGTTGAAAGATGCTCCTAGCGCTTCCAGAGGACTCCAAGCACTCCACCAGACACCATAAGCACCGCAGGCTGCAGCTATCTCCCTTCAGAACGAAGCAGGAACAAGCTCTTACAAGAGCTCAGTGATTATAGCAATATGCCCATTGTAGCAGATTCCCCCAATAAGAGACAGGACTCAAGTTGAGGGTAAAAATAGAACTCTCTGGCTGCTAGCTTGCAGCCCTTTTTATTAGGTGCTCCCATGAAGGGGAGGGACACACACAGTAACGTACATTAACCAATCACACAATAGTTACATCCCACACATAGCCCTCCCCTCTACCTGTAAACTAATTATCTGTACACACAGGGAAATACAATTATCATAGGTAGGGAAAATACAGTTTTTACACAACATTCATAACTCCCAAAATATACATCACATTCGCATAAAAATACATATTCACAATCAATCCATTCAGGGGAACAACATATTAAAAAATGGCATGAATCAGACCAGGGGTTCAAAAGTTAGTAAAAGTATCTTTTGTTCCCCCTGGCTCAAACAGTAAAAGTAAAACATCCCCACAATGCATCCTGGCTTCCTCCCTTCTGCCCTGGAGATAATTGGAGAAGGAATCTAATTATCTCCAAAGACAGAGCCAAACTCCATTACCCACATGGCAGACAAAAAGACAGTAAAAGACATAAAATTACATACTGACACATTTAGTACATAAAACACACATTTCTACATATCCCCAGATAGCTTGGATCTGACTGCACATTATTAGATGAATGGCACTCAGATCACACGAATAAGCCTTTCTGCAGGGAAAATAAACAGTTTAACCTGCAGGGCCATAGTCCAAAGGCAAGAGGCGGGCAAGCAGCCCCCTCCAAGGACACGTGGCGAGGTCGGTTTTGCCACACTTCTCCCCTTTGCCCCCCAGACTAACAGGGTATCTGACCTCCTGCCGGTCAGTGCCCTGGTTAGTCCAGCAACCCACCCACGAAGCACAAACAGCAGTACAGCCCACCCACAATAAATGTTTACTCCACCTGGATAAAGTAGCAACTTGTCCATGTCCAGGTGCCTCACCACGGCTGTGTGGGGAGCTGGTAGACTGCCTTGGTGGGTTGCTGAGTGGGCAGAGACCAGCGGTACTCTGCCCTGGTGCCAGTGCTACCACCGAAGTAGCCTGATTGGAGCCTGGTTGTGGGAGGGGGAGACCGACCGTCTCCCCTCTGGGTACACAGCTCTGGGGCTGGGGAACAGGACCGACCGTCTCTACCCCTTGGGCTGTAAGCGCAGAGACTACGGTCCCATCTGCACAGTTGCGGGGCTCAACATCTCCCCTTGGTGGGTTAGGCTGCCGCTGGAGAGAGGGTGTAACAAGCTCCTCTCTCTGGACTGTCAACTGCCGCTGGGGAGAGGGGTTAACAGGCTCCTCTCCCTGACACTCTCTCTGCTGGTGGAGAGGCGGACCAGCTGTCTCCCCTTTCATTATTTTGTCCTGCTGCTGGGGTGTGAGACTGACGGTCTCTGCTCCCTGCAGGACACACTGCCGCTGGGGAGGAAGGGCGACACCTTCAGCTCCCTGGGGTACACACTGCCGCTGGGGAGGAAGGACGACACCTTCGGCTCCCTGGGTTACACACTGCTGCTGGGGAGGACGGACGACACCATCAGCTCCCTGGGGTACGCACTGCCGCTGGGGAGGAAGGACGGCACCTTCCGCTGGGGCAGCCTGTAGAAAGTCAGGCTCAGGGGAAGGAAACAAGGGAGGACAGAGGCCAGCGGCGCTCTGCCCAGTTGCCAGCTCTTCTGCTGGGGGTCAGGGAACAAAGGAGTTGGCTGGGGAGGAGAAATATCACTTACCTCCCCCTGGTACTCCGGCTGCTGCTGGGGGGGGAGGTCGATGCTCTCCACTTTCTGTAACTCCAGCTCTAGTTGGGGATCTGGGCCGGTTGCCCAGCATCCCTGTGGGGCCGGTGGAGAGATCTCAGTCCCATCTCCACCTGCCTGCAGGGGGTCCTCCCAGGACCAGTCTATGAGGTCCTCTACCTCGGGTACCTCTGGTTGCTGTTGGGGAGGGAGACCGGTTGTCTCTTCCTCCAATAACACATTCTGCCGCTGGGGAGTGAGACCGACTGTCTCCCCTCCCTGTAAAACATACTGCCGCTGGGGATCTGGGCCGGGTGCCCAGCATCCCTGTAGGGCCGGTAGAGAGACCTCGGTCCCATCTCCACCGGCCACCTCGGTTTCTTCCTCGTCCCACTCTACCTGTGGCTGGAGTTTCTCCCAACGTGCCCACTGGCCTTCCCTCAGCGCCCTGTGTTGTAGGTTCCGGGTCACCATGTCCCACACGAACCGCACGTATTTCTCCTCTGGATTGGGTCCGTAAAACTTCAGGTGCAACCCTACCATCGTGCCAAACTCTAGTACGGAGTAGCTATACGCCATGCTTGCTGTAGCCACTGCTGGTTCCATTATGTTGCTGAAGATAAGGACGCTGCACAACTCCACACGTTACCGGTGTCTCCGAGCTGCTTCTCCTCGCACTAGGATGCCATCCCGCCGCTTGCCACCAATGTAACGGATCACCTGGCACCCCGACTGGGTACCTCCGTTGAAAGATGCTCCTAGCGCTTCCAGAGGACTCCAAGCACTCCACCAGACACCATAAGCACCGCAGGCTGCAGCTATCTCCCTTCAGAACGAAGCAGGAACAAGCTCTTACAAGAGCTCAGTGATTATAGCAAGGGAATATGCCTAGCATAGCAATCCCTTGTAGCAGATTCCCCCAATAAGAGACAGGACTCAAGTTGAGGGTAAAAATAGAACTCTCTGGCTGCTAGCTTGCAGCCCTTTTTATTAGGTGCTCCCATGAAGGGGAGGGACACACACAGTAACGTACATTAACCAATCACACAATAGTTACATCCCACACATAGCCCTCCCCTCTACCTGTAAACTAATTATCTGTACACACAGGGAAATACAATTATCATAGGTAGGGAAAATACAGTTTTTACACAACATTCATAACTCCCAAAATATACATCACATTCGCATAAAAATACATATTCACAATCAATCCATTCAGGGGAACAACATATTAAAAAATGGCATGAATCAGACCAGGGGTTCAAAAGTTAGTAAAAGTATCTTTTGTTCCCCCTGGCTCAAACAGTAAAAGTAAAACATCCCCACAATGCATCCTGGCTTCCTCCCTTCTGCCCTGGAGATAATTGGAGAAGGAATCTAATTATCTCCAAAGACAGAGCCAAACTCCATTACCCACATGGCAGACAAAAAGACAGTAAAAGACATAAAATTACATACTGACACATTTAGTACATAAAACACACATTTCTACATATCCCCAGATAGCTTGGATCTGACTGCACATTATTAGATGAATGGCACTCAGATCACACGAATAAGCCTTTCTGCAGGGAAAATAAACAGTTTAACCTGCAGGGCCATAGTCCAAAGGCAAGAGGCGGGCAAGCAGCCCCCTCCAAGGACACGTGGCGAGGTCGGTTTTGCCACAGCCCCAGTAAATGAGTTCCTGCTTAACCCTCAAAGTGAAGTGTTGTCTCATTATTGGGGGAGGATTTACTGTATGCTGTTAGAGCCTGATTGCCAGGAGTGTAAGCCGCTTGGGAGCTTTTCCCGTTCGTCCGCTAGCAGCTATTCGTGTGTCTCCAGTTCGGGAGTTGGTGAATTCGTGGGTTTGCAGTTCAGGAGATTGGCACTTGCCGTAGCTGTCAGTGCAGCTGAAAAAGGGGAATATCGCCTATACGGTTTTTAACCTCTTTTGGGCAAAACGGTCCGTTACACCGACCTCCAGGATACCAGCTCCCAACCTCAGGCCACCAAGGAGGTCCTGCATTGAAGAATGTGTGGTCCAGCTGCAAACGTGATCCAGCTTGTAAATGATCGCTAGATAATTGATTTGTTGTCCAATGTGGCATCTCTGCAAGTTGCGCAATTTCAGTTACTGGCAAGTGTTGTACTCACAAGCGGTCAGCCTTGACTCTCCAGCTTAGCTAGACTACAATTCCCTATGTACCCTGAGCCAGCTGGTAGTGGGTGACAGCAGCCCAGGGTTTATAGCGTTTGTATGAACATGCAGTCTCTCAGAGTGTGTTTTTACTAAGCACACAGCAGAGCAATAGATGGACAGACCCACCCTCATAGACTAACACAATAACTGGAAGCAGCAGTGTAACCAGCCATGTGCTCCATTCAGTCTGCTCCTCTTCCTCCCTGTCTGCTGCTGTTACTGTGAAATCCTTCCTTTCCTGTCACCTCCATCTCTCCAGCCAGGGTACTCCATGCCTTCATATCACAATAACTAAAGAGAGCAGACAGAAAGCGGAGTGGGGTATACTGGGTAAATGTGTATGTCTTTTGTATTTAAGCATTAAAGGACCACTATAGTGCCAGGAAAACATACTCGTTTTCCTGGCACTATAGTGCCCTGAGGGTGCCCCCACCCTCAGGGACCCCCTCCCGCCCGGCTCTGGAAAGGGGAAAGGGGTTAAAACTTACCTTTTTCCAGCGCTGGGCGGAGAGCTCTCCTCCTCCTCTCCGCCTCCGTTCCTCCTCCTGGGCTGAATGCGCACGCGCGGCAAGAGCTGCGCGCGCATTCAGCCCGTCGCAGGAAAGCATTTACAATGCTTTCCTATGGACGCTTGCGTGCTCTCACTGTGAAAATCACAGTGAGAAGCACGCAAGCGCCTCTAGTGGCTGTCAATGAGACAGCCACTAGAGGATTAGGGGGAAAGCTTAACCCATTCATAATTATAGCAGTTTCTCTGAAACTGCTATAATTATGAAAAAATGGGTTAACCCTAGAAGGACCTGGCACCCAGACCACTTCATTAAGCTGAAGTGGTCTGGGTGCCTAGAGTGGTCCTTTAATTGTGTTCATGCAGTTAACGTGACGTTATGTTTGTATGTTATATGATGCTGCATAGAAAGTACTGGAGTACTGATTTCTGTATGATATGAGTTATATTTCTCGAGATGAATTGATACAGTTTCACTGTGTATATGCAGGTAATCGAACTCCACATTTCAAATCCGTTAACAACTTTCCCAGTAAAACTCTGTAAGCAATAAGCAAATGTATTTTTGTAACGGAACCGCTGGCACCCTGACCGGGTACCTTCCGCTGACGGATGCTCCTAGTGCTTTCCGAGGACTCCAAGCACTCTGCCTGACACCATAACCACTGCAGACCCCATGAACCGCCGCAGCTTGGTTGGGGTCTCGCGTCTCCACCCACTCTGGACCCAGGACCAGGGTCCAGCTTCCAGCAGGTCGACCTCTCTCCAAATTCCAGAGAGCAGGAACAGAAACAAGCTCTTAGCAGAGCTTGTTGATTATACCCTGGGTAGTATAGTGATTACAGCAATCCCCAGAGTGTAGTTTCTCCAATCCCCCAAACATGAGCCGAAACTTCATGAAGGTACAAGATGATCTGTTTATTGGCACACAAAGAACCTTCTTTTATGCAGGTTTCCCTGAGATAGGACCACCCACAGGGTTTTACACAACAACCAATCATAAACGTACATTACAGAAACACTCCCAGCAATTACACACAAAGATCCTCCCCTCTGCCTATGATATAATTATGTTGCACAATGGTTTAACCTAATTAACACAGGCAGTAAAAATACAGTTTTTATACATATCCTGTAACTTTAAAACTACACATCCAATCTTCATAAATTACATATTTGGAATCAGCACACTTTAAACATAAACATAACCAAAAATCAGACAAATCCATCCAGGGGTTAAAAAGTTAGCTGGAGGTCCCTTTATGACCGACCGCAAGCACATTTTCCTGCCCAAAACAGTTCCACAGATTTGGGCTGTGCGGCCGGTCTATTTCAGGCTGAAAAAACGACTAAGTCCCATCGCCGAATGGGACTTAGTCTCTGCGGCTGTAAAATCAGTAGGGGAGAAGGTAAGGCTCAGCGGTGTTCGCGGAAATGTGTAGCCGATTTTAGTTCCATGAATTTGGCTACACATATCGGTGAACTCGTTCGCATTAACAAAGATGGCCGCCGCCACGTGTTCGCCAAACGAACAAAGGCCACCCAGCATTCGGCAATTAAGCTGCGGTTAAATGCAGCTTCTGGGAGGTAAATTGCCTGCACACTTCCACTTCTGGGTGGTCTGCCTGTGTGGTACTTGGTTCAGTAAGCCCCATGGTTCAGTAAGCCCCATTTACTGAACCAATTGGGAAATAGCCAGGCACAAAGGGTTTTAACCAGGTCTGGGGACACCGTCTTAAAGGGGCAGTGTCCCAAACAAGTCTGGGGACACCGTCTTAAAGGGGCAGAGTCCCAATTTTCCCTATGCCCCAAAAAGGTGCTTAAAGGGCCAGCACCAGTCCCATAACCCACAAGGCAGGTCTTAAAGGGCCAGCAGCAGCACAATATAAATCCATTAGCCCAAATAAGGTTTGTAAAGTGCCATACAACCCAGGGCAGTAGTCATGAGGCAGGAGGCTGGCACTCAGGCTCCTCCAACAGCCAGGGGCAAATGGCAACTTGTCACCTAAAAATCTAGTGACGAAAGGCATTTCGTCACAATTTTTATTTCAAGTTATTTTATAGTTTTCACGGAGATGCTGGTTGTGTTCAGAAAATTCCCGCACACTCCAGATGTGAATGAATAAAATGCTGCACCCGTCACGGAGCTCACGATACGATGCTGGTTGTGTTCAGAACATTCCCGCACACTCCAGATGTGAATGAATAAAATGCTGCACCCGTCACGGAGCTCATGATACGATGCTGGTGGTGTTCAGAACATTCCCGCACACTCCAGATGTGAATTAATAAAATGCTGCACCCGTCACGGAGTTCACGATACGATGCTGGTGGTGTTCAGAACATTCCCGCACACTCCAGATGTGAATTAATAAAATGCTGCACCCATCACAGAGCTCACGATACGATACTGGTTGTGTTCAGAACATTCCCGCACACTCCAGATGTGAATGAATAAAATGCTGCACCCATTGCGGAGCTCACGATACGATGCTGGTTGTGTTCAGAAAATTCCCGCACACTCCAGATGTAAATGAATAAAATGCTGCACCCATCACGGAGCTCACGATATGATGCTGGTGGTGTTCAGATCATTCCCGCACACTCCAGATGTGAATGAATAAAATGCTGCACCTGTCACGGAGCTCACGATATGATGCTGGTGGTGTTCAGAACATTCCCGCACACTCCAGATGTGAATGAATAAAATGCTGCACCCATCGCGGAGCTCACGATACGATGCTGGTTGTGTTCAGAACATTCCCGCACACTCCAGATGTGAATGAATAAAATGCTGCACCCGTCACGTAGCTCACGATATGATGCTGGTGGTGTTCAGAACATTCCCGTACACTCCAGATGTGAATGAATAAAATGCTGCACCTGTCACGGAGCTCACGATACGATGCTGGTGGTGTTCAGAACATTCCCACACACTCCAAATGTGAATGAATAAAATGCTGCACCTGTCACGGAGCTCACGATACGATGCTGGTGGTGTTCAGAACATTCCCGCACACTCCAGATGTGAATGAATAAAATGCTGCACCCGTCACGGAGCTCACAACACGATGCTGGTGGTGTTCAGAACATTCCCGCACACTCCAGATGTGAATGAATCAAATGCTGCACCCGTCACGGAGCTCACGATACGATGCTGGTTGTGTTCAGAACATTTCCGCACACTGCAGATGTGAATGAATAAAATGCTGCACCCGTCACGGAGCTCACGATATGATGCTGGTTGTGTTCAGAACATTCCCGCACACTCCAGACAGGGCCAGATTAAGAGCATAGTGGACCTGGTGCTGACAATTATGATGGGGCCTAATTACCGAATTGTCACGGCCCCCGGTGCGACCACGCCAACGAACTGAGCTAACCTGCTCAGCGGCGAGTCGGGAGCTGCACTGCTGGGTTCTCCTGGCCGTCTGACCGGATTCAAGATGGTGCCAACCACGCGGTCGGGGCCAGATATAGCTCTGCCCCCAGGGTCACATGCACACGCACGTGAGGCCAGTGGGATATTTAACCTAGGTTATTGCCCTGTCGTGGTTTCCGTTCCTGGTTCCTGAGAGTGCATTTTCTTGTGCGTCCTGTTTTTGATATTCCCGGTATTTTGACCTTGGCTATTCCTGACTATTCTGATTTCTGGCTTCCCTGACTTGCTTTTTAAATGGTATTGTATATTTCTGGCTTCCTTTAACTCGACTATCCCTTGACCATTCTCTGTTTTTAACGTATTAGTCCGGCTATTCTAAGGACCGGTTTAAGTTTTATCATTTTCTGTTCTGTCTATGTAGATGTTACATAGTTCTTGGTGCTGGACCACACTAGCAGTCATTACAAACATCTTATCGACCATAAACACTAAAATAGTCATACATCTGATGGAGATGGTGTTGGAGGGAAACTCAAAGGATGCAGCTCTCTGTGCTGTGTAGCTGTTCCCCCACGGATCAGTGAGTATAGATAGGCAGGGAGATGCTGTAACTTCCTATCCCTGCCTCTCTCCACACACAGTGACCCCTACTGGCTGGTGCTGGTATTGCAGAGTAATCTCTGTTTATACTGAGAAAAATATCTGCATTTGTATTGCCGGTGTTACTGCAATGCCGGCACGGCCAGGCAGCCTCAAATACCAGCTGTGCCAGTAAAATACCAGTCAGGTGGCAAACCATTTTTTAATTTTTTTTTTAAATGGGCCTATTCCATGGACCTGGGCCTGGAGCTGCAGCTCCATCAGCCCCTATGTTAATCCGGACCTGACTCCAGATGTGAATAAATAAAATGCTGCACCCGTCACGGAGCTCACGATACGATGCTGATTGTGTTCAGAACATTCCCGCGCACTCCAGATGTGAATGAATAAAATGCTGCACCCGTCAGAAGCTCTCTTCTCCCTTTTATTGATGCCAACAGTTGCTACACAGCTCATCCCACGGATCATGACAGTTATTCTTCTTCTTTCCCAGGATCTTCCAAGCCCTCTGGATTATTTGATCTGGACAATTCTTATTTGCCATTATATTTGCTGTATGCGACTGTGCTAGTTATAGGTGTGTGTCTGTAATAGGAACAGCGGGCCTTCCAGGGGTCAGTGAACTACATTTCCCATAATTCTTTGCTCTATTCATGGATGTGGAAGGGCTTGTGACGCATGGGACATATCATAGTCTGGTCTGCTACCTGTTAGATTGCCATTCTATATAATATGGGAGAGGGCTAGTATGGACTCCCCAATACATGATGTCGGCAAGGAGTAAAGCCTTACTTGGCCGTTGGCAGCTAAGGGGCAAGAAAGAGACAAGTCGGTGAATGGGGCAATCAACTACTTTTGATTTATTTTTAATAGGCACTTGGGGACCCACAACTCATTTTTGGAAATGATTTTCTATTCGTTTTATTAGAGAAAGGATATTTTCCACACACATTATCACACATTATCATAAGGTGATCATTATTGCAGGTTATAATCTGTGTCTGTCTGTGAACCTCTTATATCTTATTAATGCATGGGTACCCCTTAGACTTCAGGGATACACAGATGTTTATTCACTAAACTGGGCAATTCTTACTTTTGGATAATAA